CTCAAAATATAAACTAGTTACACCCCTAGTAAGAAGTCACTAAAATTGAAAACATTAAAAAGCTGATAACTTTATGTACTTCAGCACTTGCAGATTAAAAAGTTATGTTTATATATACTTGTAAAGGAAATTGTTAAATCCAAAGTTGTCCGGTGATACATGCCTAAGGGAGAGAGGAGAGAGAGAGAGAGAGAGAGAGAGAGAAGGTGACGCTGCGACTGCCCCCCAGCGGGGCAAAGTGGGGGTGTTCCTCGAGTTCTTGGACATATTCCATATATTAAAAAATTATTTACAAAGAAGAATAGAGTCAAAATGACATGAGTCTTCCTATACATAAAAGATCTTCTATTTATAGATTATAAATATAAAAGTATATGCATGACCTTGAGAATTATTTTCATTGGCACATCTTCACAACTCTGTCACCCTTTCACATATTAGACACATTTTTATCTTACAATGCACTTTTTGGTTATACTCAAATGCCCCAAAGTTTATTAATTCTTAGAAGTGAAGTTGCAATAAGAATGAAATACTATAAATATGTCAAAAATACAATCATAATAATGCACCAATTATACTTCCTTGAGTTTGGCGTCTCTCAACGCTTTATTTTTTCGGTCCCGAATTGCTCTCCTGAGGCCTTTCCTGGACGATTTTTTTAATGTCACTTAGTCAACACATATAAAGAAGTGTTGGTGATTTATTCAACAAATAGATAAAGCTCTTGATAAGATTTTACCTTTGCTTATTTTGTTTCTTACTATTACGACACAATTTGATAGCGACAATTGGACATTTTGGGTTGGTTGATTATTCAAATTTTCAGAAAGACCATTAGTCATTTTTTATGTATTGTAGTTCGGTGTCTACTTGGCTCAAGTATCACAAAGCCAGTGTTTTGTTTGCTCGGTCAGTTCATCACCTCCGTCAAACCTCACTTTTCTCTAGGTCTTACATGAGTCATTGTTGGGAAGATTTGTGTTGTACTCTTCGCAGAGCTTGTCGCTACTGAGCGAAAAACAACATCGAGAGTTTTTACCTACTTTGAGTTTAGAGACATGGTTTTTATGTTTGTCATTGAGGGTCGATAGTTTGCTCCTTCAGGAGGTAAGACTTTTGTTTTCTTCACTGAATTCTAGTTCTCTGAGTGTTGCATGTGAACTCTTCGAGTGCCCTCAGTCTCAGTCGGACCTAATTAAAGATTATTAAAAGTGTTAACATATATATTTTAGAGAAAAGTAAAATAAAAAAATATAAGATTGTTGGATACCCAGTTTATTTCAGTCGCCAAGATTTTTTATTGTCTTGAACTGTCGATTACTGGAATTTTTGGTCACATGGAATTTTCAGTCGCCTACTTTATTTTATCGTCTTGGGGAATTGTTAGTTGCTAAAATTTTTGTTCACCGAAATTTTTTAATCGTCTAGAATTGTCCGTCGCCGAAATTTTTGGTCGTTAGAATTTGTTGGTCACCTGGAATTGTGAGTTGCCAAAATTTTTGGTCGTCGAAATTTTTTGGTAGCTTGAAATTGTCGATCGCCATAATTTTTTGGTCGTTCGATTAAGAGTTTTGGCCGCCATCCATCCGCAGGAAGAAGTCTGTCAGCATTCAAGTGAAGAATTTTGCCAGTGTTAGCATGAAGAAGTTTGTTGTCATCCGTTCGCGGGAAGAAATTTGTCGGCGTTCAAGTGAAGAACTTTGTCTGCATCAACGTGAATAAGTCTGTCGTTGTCCGTTTATCCTTTAACAACCATAAAAACTGCATGTGCTTTCCATTCTTCAATAGCTGATTTTTTCGATCACATCTTGTCAATTGGCAGATGTGTCGGTCGACAGAGTTATTTTCACTGGACAAAAATTTTCGGTCAGCGGAATGTTGCAAAATTTGGCCGGTCGGATTTTCTACAACTCACTGGGATTTTCAGCGATTGGCGAAGCTTTCGACAACTTCCCCAGTAGTTGACGTGAATTGTAGCGATGGCTTGGATTTCAGTCAGTTTGGAAGATTTCATATCGTCTGGAACTTATTCTGTGGAACTTGCCCACGACCTAAAATTTTGGGTCAGCTAGACACTTTCGGCTGGTGAAATTTAGATGTGGGTCGACCGACGGGAGTTGCACGCGAGTCATTGTGATCGTCTGGATTTAATGTCGCATTTTTTTTTTCCCTTGTGTGGTCTCTATTAGGAGTGTTTGTGGAAAAATTTTCCTCGGTGTTCCTCATCTTGTTGACGGCAAGTCCGCGTTCGCAGCACCATATGTTCAATCCATAATTGCCTGGTGGTACATGTCCAAGATATAAAGCATGAGAACTGTGCGTGTGTGAGAGAGAGAGAGAGAGAATGTGACGAGGCAACTACCCCCAGCGGGGCAAAGTGAGGGTGTTCTCGGGACTCTCAGACCCATTTTACATATTAAATAATTATTTACAGGAAAAATGAAGAGCCAAAATGTCAAGAGTCTCCTTATACATAAAAGATCCTATTTATAAATTATAGGATGATAAATATAAAAAATATGAACTTGCCCTTGCAAGTTATTTTCGTTGGTTGGCACCTCTTCACTCCTGTTGCACATTTTCCCATATTAGGCACCTTTTTTTCTTCTTATACACTTTTTGTTCATACATAAGTAAATTCTTTTTTCTGACATGAGAAATAAAGAGATATAAATAAAATGGAAATAGAGTGTTTGAATGCCCAAATTAACTTTAATTCTATTAATACTTAAATATTTCTTATTATTTTCCCATATTAGCATTTTCTTAATATTTTCTTTTATTTCTCCTGTATTGTCATAGATACTAGCATGTCCAGTTAGACAAAATAAACTAAAAAAATTTTAAATTAAAGTATTTAATTTTGGGCCAAAATTTAAACCTATTTAAAGTCAATTTTTTTTTTAGTTATTATAAAATATGAACTATAATTTTCAATGTTTGTTTATAGAATTATATTATATAGGATGCCTTATGCACTCGTGACAATTATGAAAATTACAAGCCCTATCGAATACCCATTTAATATCATTTCTCAGTGGCATGTATCAGCCCAAAACTTTAACCATCATAACAT